CAGTAGAAGTACAGCTAGGTGCTTCATGCTACTTAAATTCAGAAAACAACGGACTGGATTGGTCTTCTAGCTCGTTTTGTTAATTCACCTTTTTTTGTTTTTTTGTTTTTTTGTTTTTTACTTTAATTTTATTTTCCGACTCCACAGTCTATTCGTTTTCTTCAAAACTCTAACAATTGACGTTTACATTTTTCACAGGCTTGCACCTCCACTCTTCCGGCCATCATGGTTTTGATAAGATCACCACTTCTTCAAGGTTAGAGAGGGTGTACGTTACCAACTGTCTCATTTCAAATTTATAGAAGGGTGCATAGTCTCCAAAACATTATGTAGTTTATGCGTATTACAACAAATTTAAGGGCCAGCGAACCATCCACATACTAGGCTTCACTCCTCTCGCGTTGGTATTTATAATTTGAGTTTTCGCGCGAAAAATGTTATTATTGTGATGTAGTTGGTCGTCTTATGATCGCCTTGCTGCATCTCGTATCCGTTTAGATGTTGAAACCATCAGGTATGTTTTACGTTGTCATTTCGCCGGTTTTTTTCGTTTTGTCGTCGTCGGTAGTTAGCTTTAGTATAATTTAATATAATTCTGTTTCAGAAACCACTAGTTACGAATAAATTGTATTGTTTGTGTAACCGTTTTGAAATGTTGACGGCGCGTTACAGTGCCCATTAACCCCAAGGGTATCGAGGGCAGGGTGGCAAATTGTGATCTGCTTTGATTCCAGCCTGGGAGTTGTGGCAATACTCTAAAAAATTACTTTTTTCGTAAATTAGAGTAACGCATCCACTCAGGGCTGTTTCCATTATTTTGTCAAGCCGATGTATACCGAATTCTTCACATTGCTCCGTGATTTGTCAAGATCGTTCCAACCATCCGCAAATCCAATCAAATGCAAAACGGACACCAATAACAACCTGGTTAATACACAGCGGTCAAACGTCTGCGCATGTGCGAACGTTACAGAGGCTCCATGCTTTCATTACGTGCCTGCGGTTGTATCCTGTGTTTCCTTTTGTAATTTTTCGCGGGAAAGTGGCGCGCGGCTGGGTAAAGTTGGTCCCTTTGCGCTTGCCCTACTTTTGACCAAGGTGTTTGGTTACTGACATTACCTCAGGTTTGATTCCATTTTCCTGTAAAATATCGCGTTCTTGACTTACATGCTGCTAAAGATAATTCGTGTTGTTCTGATCAGCGGTTGTGCCCAGATCGGTTTCAGTTTTAGGCACTCATACGTAAAGAGCTCTTGATAAGCTAGCCGTTTTAAAAACGATTTTATCATTTAGTAGTAATTATAATTTCTTGATTGCTCAGGTGGAGCTTTGAATGCCACTCTCACTCTTCTTACTGAGCTGGTTACTTCTGGAATGAAAGGAATGGGATTTAAAGATCTCTTCCAGGTATGACTTTAACTAGAGAGAGTCGAGAGGCCGCTTCTCTAGAGAGAATCTCATTTAGATAACCTTAAAGTTTTATGTGGTACTTAATGTGAAAATCACACAGCGAGAATATCACGTAAACATTTTCCCCCGAACAGTGGTATTCTCCGTACTTTTCTCTTTACATTTCCTCCGGTACTAAGAGGAGAATTTTTTGATCATGAGGAGCTTTTTAAATTAGTGATCAACTTCTTTATTCTCGTGACTTTGATGTGCGATTCGGAGGGTCCTATTATAAGGAGAAATAAGTTTAATATTCGGCAGAATAAGGAAAGAGAAAAGCAACCCAGATCTGGTGTGAATGAAGTAGCATTGGAGTAAAGTATTTCTTGTCTCTCTCAAAACCTTCTTGAACATTTGTGAGTAATATATGAATAAAATCCAAAACAGGCTTCGTTTTAATTCTTTATTCTTTTATTCTTAGATGTTAGTTACTCCTATTTACTCTTCAAGCCATGCCAGTCAACAAATAGTCATCCACAAACAGGTATTATAACATTATCACAGAGAAACCCGCGCTCTGATTGGTTCATTCTTTGCCTACTATTTGCCTAGTGAGTGTACGGTGCTGACGTAAGGAAATGTTTGCAAGAAAGCGAATGTTTCACAAGTTATTCAGACTAGGAAGTAAACTTTTGATGACAATAAGGCGCGAAAACCTTCCCTGAAAGAGCGCGAGATCGCAATAAGGAAATTTGGTTTTTATCAGTTAGCTTGTTAGCTCAATTGGTAGAGCGCTGCACTAGTATCGCAGAGGTCAGTGGTTCGAATCCCGTACAGGCCTGATTTTTTTCAGGTGTGATTTTCGCTATTGCTTAAATAGCGCTATCTACTGCGAGGATCATGCATCGTATGTATCATTAAATTTGGTTTAAAATTAACGTTAAATGAGAAAGTATTTTCAGCGTATTACGTCACACTATCCTGTTTTGTCTTGACAATCCCCTTACACATGCCGTATTTCATTTTATTTAATTTGGATTTACTTTTACATATGTATGTTTTTTTTTTCTATTTTTTTCCTTTTCTTTCAGGCTTTCCACTCCATTGCCAAGTGTGTTGCAGCACTTGCCATGTCGTGTCCCTACGATGGAAAATCTGTGGTAAATCAGTTCGTTAGAGATATTCAGGTAAGAATGAGTTTTGATGTTTAGCGTTAAATTTTTCTTTTTTTTTAGTTTTTCATTCCTCCAACGTTAATTGAAAAAATTATTCGATTTGCTGATTTATTTCTTTTTTAATATGTTTTTTTTTTTTAATGCACAGAGTGAAAAGGTGGCCGATCCCTTACGTTTGTTTTCCCTGCTGTCATTGGGCGAAATAGGAAGACACATGTACGTTGGTAGAAAAATCCTTCTTTCTGTAGCCAGCAGTACAAGCGTTTTTGGGCAAAGAAGTGTAGGGGTTTCAATGAAAACTGATTACGAGCGTTCTAACGCCGCCTGTAACACGTGTTACCGCTGTCTGTTGAGCCTGTGAGCAGACTCTCGTGCTTGGGTTTCGCATGACGGCCCCTTTTCCTTTCACAGCCGCCTATGACACTATCTGTAGTCGTTTATGTCGTTAAAATCTATATGAGTGCGAAAAATTCCATAGAGTGTTTGAAGCACTCGAAAGCAGAGAAGACTCAGGCTACCTTGAAGAAAAATTAAGGGAGCCAAATTTTGTATGTAACCTTCCCCCTGCCCCCCCTCCCTTCCCTCCCAGCACGCCAATAAGCCATCTAACAT